GTGTGCCTTGGCAGCTGCAATGATCTGTTTGGTGTTTGGAGCCAAACACTTCAGAGACATGTTCTGTATATTTCTGAGACTTATAATATATTGATGAAAAACAGAATAATAGGGGACCTTTAAGTTGTTAGCTTAAGTCGCTTCATTCACATCCAGCAGATCCATCTTCATTAGTATTTCAGTTTTGATGAATGTGTATGTAAAGCAGACATAAGCCAACGTCACTGGACTGAAACTGTAAATGTATAACGTGTGAACTCACCTGGATTTCCTCTCTTTCCTTCTTGTCTGGTATGGCTCTGGCGGCTGACGCATGCTTCTCAAACAGTTTACGATCCTTCTGCAGCTTCCTGTTCTCCTCCTTCTTATACTCCTCTAACTTAGCCAGCTCCTCTGCCTTCAGCTGCTCAAACTCCACACGCTCTTTCCTACGAACACAGCAACAAAGTAAGCACAACAAACAAGGAGAGACATGGACAAAGTTACATCAAACAAATATATACAGCATTAGAGAAATAGCTAAACACATGAAGTCATAAGAGTAACTCAGAGCAGGAACCTCTCAGGTCATTTGAAAACGTAACGTGATATTTCACCTGAGGTCCTCCTGGTTTTTCTCGTTCTCCTGTCTGAGTTTGGCGAGGGCAGCGTTCTCCTTCTTAAATCTCTCTATCTCAATCTCCAGCTCCACCAGTCTCTCTCTCAGCTGTCGGGACTGGACCTGCGGGACTGGAGACGAACACACACACACACACTTTTATTGATCGGCCAATAATATATATTTTGCATTAAAAATGTACATGACACAATAAAGTGACAACCAGAAATCTCCTGTTCATGCATGTGTGCCGTTTTAAAAAAGGTACTGAACATGTAGTTGAGGTTTCGTAAGCGTATACCACAATGTTAGAGACAGAGAGGGGAGTAGGCAGGAGGGAATTGTAGACATTTTGATTATTAAATATAAGGATGATAATAATGACATTTATGGGCCTATGGGAAATAAACATCGGGTGAGTTGCCCTAATGTGGGACACTCCCTAATGTGGGACACTCCCTAATGTGGGACACTCCCTAATGTGGGACACGCCCTAATGTGGGACACGCCATAATGTGGGACACTCCCTAATGTGGGACACCTAAGCTCCATTGGGTGTAGGTCTTCCACAAACAAATGAAACTGTGGGTTAACACAAGATGTGATGTCATGCGATCAAAATCACATGACTTCTCAAATGTCCAATCACAGATGAGGGTGGAGCAACCTTCAAACTAATGTCCCACATTAGGCTAACTCACCCTCCTTGAAAATCTGCTCCCTGTATTTGAGAATACTGATACAGGTTATTGACATGTATATATTGATACATGTCAATAAGGAAACAAAAGTGTTTTCTCACCTGTCTCCTCCTCTGGCCTTTTGTACTCTGATGCAACAGAAGGAACAGGGAGAGGTGCATTCTGGGTCTTTGGCTTCAGCGCGGGGAACAACCTGGTCATGAGCTGAGAGGCAGGAGGAAGCTCGGTTTCTATTTCCAGCTCCACCACTTTACTCGCTGCCACCTTCCTCGAGAGAGTCTGCGTGGGGGGCGGGATCCCATTGGCTATTGCCTTGGAAACCGGACTAACTCCTCTACTCTCATTGGCTGGGGCGACTGCGGTGTCGTCCAGGTCGTTCCACGTGTCGTCGTCGTCAAACACAACCCCCCCCTGCTGCCTGTCCTCTATCAGAGTGGACTCGTCTGCGTCGCTCAGGATGCTGTCACTCTCCTCCTCGTCAGTTTGTGTCACATCTGAGGCCGAGTCCCTGCAGCTGTCCTCGTCCTGATACGAACGCTTGTCATACGGCAGGTTGGACTGTGGGGGAAAGCAAAGGCTGCTGGGAAACGCAGGTGGTTTGACCGCTACTTCCTGGTCTTCAAATTCAGAGTCGCAGGATGACACATCGGAGATCTCGGGCTTCTCTCCTCTCACATTGTTCACTTCCGTCTTATTCTTAACGCAGTTTGTAAGCGCATCTTCATTGCACTTCATAGAGTTCGTAGGACTGTTTCTAGATGCCACATCACTCCCACTAGCAGCACCACCGCTCCCCTGACCTGCAGCTTTTGGTGGTGACTTGATGGGGGTGGAGGAGAGCCGTCGAGGGTGGAGCCCCCTTTGCTGTAGGTCCAACTGAAGGACCTGCAAGTACAGAACAGAGCCTTTCAAATAAAACCACTTTATAGTGAAGATTAAATAAGAATACAAATCCACACGCTCAAGATTCTAACTGCTGGAATATTTTAAATACTGGAATATTTTAAATACTGGAATATTTTAAATACTGGAATATTTTAAATACTGGCGGGATTCATTCTTGCCGCTTTCTTTACACTACCCTCATCCGAGCTGTTCTGCCATACCCATACCCGGCAGTGGCTCAGTCAGTAGGGGCTTGGACTGGGAGCCGTAGGACTCCGGTTCAAGTCCCCGACCAGACCTAAATATGGAGTGTGGACTNACAACCCCCCCCCCCCACACTTTAAATGTTCTTTTAGTCTTTATTATTTTTATATGGTTTTATTTATTTTATAGGTCTTAATCTTTTTCTTTTTATTTCTGTTATACCTATATGTTCACTTTGTGAATTATCATGCATTTTACCTCCTTGGGTCTATTAACCTGATACCATGTTATATTTTGCTGCATGTCCCTTTTAAAGGGGACCTATCATGCAAAATGCACTTTTTGATGTCTTTTACACATAAATATGTGTCCCCGGTGTGTCAGGGAACTCACAAAGTGTCAGAAAATAAAACCCTCTCTCTTTTCCTTCGTGCACAAATCTCTAAAAAACGGGGGTACAACGGAGCTGATCCAGATTTGCCATCCGATATGATGTAAGGACCCACGGCACTATCAGAAGCGTCGCTGTATCAGAAACAATTCCCGACGTGTTTTGGACGTAATAGTATTTGTTTACATTAGCAAGCATCGCAGGAAATAAAAAAGGTACTCACCTTGTGGTAAACCCGCAAGACAGAAAGCCTTTGAGCTCCATACTGTTTCAGAAATAATCCTTGATCTAATAATCCTTGATCTAATAATCCTTGCGTTTCATCACCGCAGCATTTTAGACCGTATCTGCCAGGTTCCGCATGAGCCGGCATAAACTCAGAAAAAAAGAAGAAGCTTTATACCCAGAATCAGCACTTTTGGAACAGGAAGAGAAATAGAGGGAGGTGAGGCATGGCTATGGGTGATCGGTTTGGTTTTTTGACCAAAACACTTCATAGACATGTTTTTTATATATTTGTATATATCTGAGACCTATGTTATTATGTTGTTTGTTTTTAACTTGTGATGTGTCATTTGGTAAAGCACTTTGAGCTACATGTGTTGTATGAAAAGTGCTATGTAAATAAAGCTTTATTATTATTAAATGTAGGAGATGTATTTATCCTACGCCTGGCTTTTTGTTGGAGTACAGTGTGTGTACATGATTTTCCATGTATGTTAAATGTTTGTACAAGTTTCCTCCCTGTACTTCAGGCCCTCTCTTTAGTTAGTTTAGGGTTAGGGGAGTATCAGTGAAGTAGCCCAGGAGGAGCCTTTAAACTGGGCCTCGTGGGGGTGACGGTGCCCTGTGGGACATGGAAGGAGATTGTAGGCTGGAGGAGAATCATTCAGGGAAGGAGGGCAGTATGTGTAATGTCTTTGCTGAGGAAGGCAGAGGTTTTCCTGCATTTTGGGAAGTCAACACGTCCCTGGCTATCAGCATTTCTGGATGGTTTATCCGGAGATATCGGCAGGTTATGTGGGTGTATCTTGTTCGAGTCTGGAGTTTGTTCATGTAGACAAGAGCAACTAACACTCCCCCTCCACAGAGAGACATGCAAAGAAATTCATAAATGCAACAACACATTCACTACATTCGCTCTTTGGGGACTGCTCGTATCTCTCTTCCTGGGGTCTGATAATATTCTGTCTCCCTCAGCTCCATGAGTTACAGTAATTACCAGCGAATGCCATAGAAAGTTATAGATAATCAGTCTGTGTGTGTGTGTGTTTATCAATGGTCTTTTGTGAATGTGCAACTATGAGCTCACTGGACCGCTGAGACAGAGGAGATATGATGGGGTGAGATCATTACATCTACAAGTGAAAGGAAAATTAAGTACATTTTTCAAAATAAAATAATGATCCTGTACTTCAAATAGGAGTAAGAATGTTGATAATAAATAAAATACAGAATACTCCCTAAACAGATTTGTTTCCTCCTTGGTTACAATTTAGGAATGTGTGCACTCTATTTAATGTTACAAAAATGTTCACATTTCACATATAAACACACACACACACACACACACACACACACACACACACACACACACACACACACACACACACACACACACACACACACACACACACACACACACACCTGTCGCTCCGCCTCCTGAGTAATGAGGAGGAAGAGGATCAAAGCAGAGAACCTGATACAGCCAATAGGAGCGCAGCACTGTTTATCATCCCTCTCCATCATCGCCCTCCGTGTTAACAATTGCCTGAGTAATCAGGTGTGAATAATATCAGCGACGCTCCAGCATTACAACGCTAATTAGGTGTGTGTAATGATAATCCTGACAATATATAACCCTTCATTTACAAAGATGAATAGATTTGAAATGATTATGTCTTTATTAAGACTTGACTAAAACACTGTCATCTGAATTATCTGCGCGTTACTCATCTTAATCTTACATTTAATGTAATCAATACAAATGTTTAATTCCTGTAAGATAAGCGCAATGTTAGGCTACACCACACATCTTAAGTATACTACAGCTAAAATTCAAATAATTCTGATAACAAAGGTAAAACATTTTAATCTAATCTGATTTCACAATATTAATAATACTTATTATTATATTCCATTTCTGCTAATACATCCCCTTATATATTACACACTGGCCCTTCAAGAGCCAAACAACCATATATTGCAGTTTCATCAGGCCTGTAGATTTAAAGCTGACCACTTTGAAATACAGGTATCAGTATTTAAACAGGATCAAGTGTGTGGCTGCATTTTGGCTGAAAAGCTTGTTTGTGCTCAACTGTTTTGACTTTATTTGTTTTGGCTAGAAGGATTTGACCAGACATCCAACAACAGACAGTGGAGTCTGTAGTGGGGACAGTTAAGAAGGGGGGGGAGGGTTTCAAACGGATGCTGTGAAGGATTTAGTAGGGTGCTGGGAGTTCGGATTAAACCACACACACAAACACACACATCCAAACTGTGCAGAGACCCTCTCCCTCTCTCTGTTTATAAACTGTAGCCTGTAGTGACAGAGACCAGACCTTTGACTCTGAAACCCAGCACTGTCCTACACTGCCCTGATGCCCAGTGCTGAGGAGTCACACACACACACACACACACACACACACACACACTTTTGTTATCTGTGCATCCGATCACCAGGCCACAAAGAGCAGAGGTTCCAGCAGAGGTTGAAAAGTGCCATACTGTAGCAGAACACACGCTAACACACAAACACACTCAAACTGCAGCTGCATCACGTCTCACTTACTTCCGACAGGCCACTTTGGGCACTTTGCCAATTCAAGTTCAGGCCAATACAATTTAAGAAGCGTTGTGTGTATGTCTATTCTGGAGCCAGCCATCAATGTAGCAATGGCTAGCCACAAAGTCAGTTCATTTTAATATCTATGTATCTTTTTCTGAAATCTCCACCATGTTACTTTTTGTGTCTTTTCTCTCGCTTCACATTTCCAACGATTAATTTATTTCTGACCTCCATCTGTCCATTTAACTCTGAGACAGTTGTCAAAGCTACTTTTCGTCTGTCCGCTGCGCTCTTTGTGTTTATTTAACAGCCCGTTTTCCAACTGTGCAGGCGTAAACTGGAAAATACCTAACAACAAACGCTCCAATGAAAATCTGTTAAGTGGTCCTTGAATCCATTTGACATAGTTGCGAAACCGTGGAATGACAACTTCCTGGTCTGACACATGATGCAACTGGGCCCAAAAACTTTGTTCTCCAATCAGAAAAGACCCCTAAATATTGTGGACTAAAAGTTGTAAAAGGAATGTATAGTTGTTCAGTGAACCACCTTTGCGCTTCTCTATTGCTCGATGAATGCTAAAGATGAAAATGCAGGTTATTTTATACCCTGCAGCTAAACTTTTTGGGCCCCTTGCACCACTGATCAACTTTATTATTTCGTTTTTTATATTTAGGATTATGTAACGTCTTGAGAAGAATGACAACACCATGTTTGCTCAAGTCAAAACATGCTGTTGTTCCTGTCTTCTGATTGGTCGTTGAGGTAAGGAGTAAAACATTACCCCAGCAGGGCACATTAGAGATGATTCTCCATCATTTGCCACCATTTCTTTCAACATCGATCACACACACACATTGTGAAACCCAATACATTAACCACAGATTTACACATTTATGCAGATAATGTGTGCACAAATTCCAGAGACTAACTAACTCCAACTCCCTCAAGCTGCAAGGACAAGACTTCCAGGTCATTAACCGACACTGTGACAGAATATCAGTCTCTTTCTGGAAAATCACTGTTTGCCTCCCCCCGGATGTTCCTGTCACTTAATATCAGAGGGTTGTAGTCTTTTTGAAAAAATAATATGACAAATCCACTCCCAAAAAAATGTCATAATTCTCTATCATTGCCCGATTTGTCCGTCATATCCTTTTTTTCCCTCTGGCTTTCTCCACTCCCTGCTTTGCACTTTCGGGAACCTTTCTTTGTTTTACTTTGATTTGAGTTTGACTTTTTTTAGAGGTACTTGAACTGAGGCGGAAACTACATAGTGCGCACATTTGTGAATGTGTGTGTGTGTGTGTGTGTGTGTGTGTGTGTGTGTGTGTGTGTGTTGGGGGAGTATGGTTGTGATAAGGGACAGGGAACTGGAGTGCTTGGACATAGATGGATGATGTTTTTCTCACCCCAAGCCTCACTCAAAGATTGCATTCTCTTTCAGCTCTTTAAAACCAGCAAGCAACTACATTTTTCCCGTTTTTATATGTCACAGAAAAACACAAGTGGAATGTTTTGCCAATAAATAAAACAATATTTTGCTTTAGATTATCCTTCTTTTCCCTGACAATATTTAATGGTTCCTTCCTGTATTGTGTTGTCCTTGTGATGTTTTGCTCTTTTCTTTTTAGTTTTGATAAATTAGGTGAAGAAAAAAGGACAAGTTAAGCAGTTCATGACTGGGAAGTTTGTCAGAAGATACCACAAGCTGATAGAGGCATCTTTTTCTTAATCACCAAGTAACATTTTCAGAATAAGAAACACTGTAAATATACAGTAGCTTTAATCCTCAACTGCAGCTTTTCCTTGTTTTCAGTTTAAACATTTTATTTTGTTACCCATTTAATATCTAAAAGAAGTTTTCCCCCGACCACCGCAACTCTTTTGTGCTTTGCAAGTCAAATTAAAGTGTTATATCTATGTTTTTTGTAGGAAAAGGAATCAAATTAACAACAAATTACAATATAAATAAAGTAGTATTAGAGATTCTTATATAAGAAGTTTCATGCCTCTCGTTGGGCATTATTAGTGTTTAAGCAATACTTGCTAATGTTACTTTTGGTTTATTAGTAGGTCTTTGATTTCTCATACGTTAAAGAAAGGAGGGGCTCTAGTGTCAGCCCTCTGTCTTTTTCATGGGTGTAGTTGTGGTGACGGTAAATATAGGCTGTCAAAACTCACAGCAACAGGTAGTTCTTTAACCATATAACCTTTAGTCCATGGCTGAGATTAAGTGATGAAGTGCCTGTTTCTTGTTGGACTAGAATAAATACAGTATTTTTTCAAGTTCAACCACACGAAAAAGGGGCCCATAAAACATTTTGGTACTGACAGTGTTAATCAGAAGCAATTTGCATCCCCTTAATAAACCAATGTGGGCCGCTGTCACTTAGCATGAAATTAATAACTTTCAGTTCTGTCATACAATATTATTTGTTCTCTTACAGGACATTCCAATAACAATATCACTTGATAAATTCCTCCTTTCTCAATATAAGCGTTTAACAAAGGTGTGTGTGTATGTGTGTGTGTGACAGAGAGAGAAATGATGATGACCGGAGGCATCAGGTACTGCCGTGTCCCTTCTTTTGGTACTAACCGAGACAAAAAACTCGATAAATATCAAGTAAGGGAGAGGGACCACCTAGGTACATAGAGTCTTCCACTTAGTAGTAGATGGTCTGTTTATAATAATGAAAAGGTTGTCTGCATCGAAACTAAACTTTGCGGGTGGGTCCTCTAATTCGGGGGGAGAACACGAGAGGAAAGGAGAGGGAGGTAGGGCGAGTTGGATAGAAAAGTAAAGAGAGAAAGAAAAAACAGGCGAGGACACTATTCAGCCGGAATAGCGAAAAAGGAACGTCAGAGTCACTTGAAGAAAGGTTTACACAAGGACAAAATCTACTAAAAAACTAAAATTCTACATAGAGGTGCGTCATTAAAAATTCATAACACAGTAAGATTACCGATCTTGTAATCACGACCACGAACAAACCTACGTGACAACTGTCGGCCCTTCGCCCCCAATTTCCAGTCGAGAGTTCTCTGTAGTGGAGAGTAGGAAACGTGTGCGAAGTCGACACTTCCGGTTTCCGTGTGTGTAAGGTTCTCTAGACGTCGAAGTACGTTTACATTGTCGAATCGGTATGCACGTTTGTCGTTTACAAAGTCAGAAAGTCATAGTGGTCGTTAATCCTTAAAGTCAGGGTCCATAGCCACAACACTGACTTTAAGGATTAACGATCCCACTATGACTTTCTGACTTTGTAAACGACAAACGTGCAAAATTTTTACCGATTTCGACATGTAAACCGTACTTCGACGTCTATAGAACCTTACACACACGGAAACCGGAAGTGTCGACTTCGCACACGTTTCCTACTACTCCACACAGGAACTCTCGGACTGGAAATTGGGGGAGCGAAGGCCACAGTTGTCACGTAGGTTGTGTTCGTGGTCGTGATTATACAAGATCGGGTATTCTTAACTGTCGTTATGAATTTTTTATGAACGCACCTCTATGTAGAATTTTGTTTTTGTAGATTTTGTCCTTGTCTGTAAACCTTTCTTCAAGTGTCCTGACGTTCCTTTTCTTCTATTCCGTGATGTGTCCTCGCCTGTTTTTCTTTCTCTCTTTACTTTTCTATCACACTCCCCGGTACTCCCTCTCCCTTTCTCTCGTTTCTCCCCGAATTAGAGGACCCACCGACCTTTAGTTTCGGTGAGACACCTTTTCATTATTAATCTCAGACCATCTAGCTACCTAGTGGGAGACTCTATGTACCTAGAGTGGTCCCTCTCCCTTTAACTTGACTTTTATCGAGTTGTTTTGTCTCCGTGTATAGTACCAAAAAAGAAGGGACACGCAGTTATCTTTGTGTCAGGGACTACATTGTTGTTAGGTACTGAGTTTGGAACATGAACGTCCCGATTGAGCGAAAAGTACACTTTTTCTTTTTCTTTAAGTTACTCACAAATCTTGGAAGTGTAGCCTCGGGGCCAGGGTGTTGTGACACTGTACTCCCGTTGTCCACCTCTCTCCCCCATTGACCACTCTTTCTACTCCCTTTCTTTTTTTTCCCTGGGACCGTCAATACCTCCCTGTTCGACGATTAATCGGCCCAACCCAAGTTTCCAATCCGACCAACACACTCAGTGGTGCTTCCCTGCCCAAGCGTCTCACAACGAGGCGTCCCGGTTGGCTCCCCCCCCCCCCCCGTGGACTACGGAGGGCCAGTAG